GCAAAGAAAGAGATGATTGAACTTTTGCATTAAACTAATGTCCCATTACACGATTTCATTACTCCATTACAAAAAAATACTGTACAAAAATATCTGATATTGTTGGGTTATATAAAAAAGTCACAATCATTTCAGGAATTTCAATGTCTTTTTTGTTTGTTAATTGCATAATTCCTGAAATAACACTCTCCGGTAAGACGATAGACTTATCGATTTACACTTCCAAATGTCATCTAAGCATACCCTAAAAAGGCATTTTAAAAAATTTACAGAATAGGTGATCTGATCTGAAATGTAAATAAGACACAGAGTAAATACGATTTTTAAAATGCTAAAAAGTTATCTTTTTAAGATTCATTTAAATATGATAAGGAACAACGAAAAAAATGCCGTAAAAATATCAGAAATGTCTTGACAATCAGATTTTTTGAAATTTATTGAAGAATTTTTAAAATTTATTGTAGAGTTTTGCAAATTATTAGAGCATGAAATTTTGTCAATTTTCCTTTTCATTAATTTGAACATTTGCACTTTTTTAAAGCAAAAAAAGAAATGAAATTTGATAAATTAAACTGAAAATATTGAGCAGTTGTTGCAAAATTTTAACTACGAAAAAAATAAATGCTAAGAACAAGATTAAATCATTTCCATTACAAATGTAATGTAGAGAAGAGTTGTGGCAGCGGAATTTAGAATTTTAGAATTTGATTAAAAGACCTATATAATTAAGTCTAAAAGAGTGGATGGAAGGCAATACTGAATTATGAAAATTACATTATGTAGCGTTATCAAATGATATTCAAATCATTTTTATTTTGCTAAATTCAATCTATTAATTCATCTCTTCTTAATTTCCTATTTTAAGTCCAAATTCAAGCATTGAACGCCTAGTAGAAATCTTCCGGTAAATTGCACAAATTTCATCATTCCAAGTGATCATGATTGCACAAATGCTATGCTATTGTTTTTATCAGTCTATCTTTGAAGCAACAGTACTTTCGATATTAAGCAACATTTCATTGCATATTTCAATAAGTTCCGAAATTAAAATACTCAAATTGTATAAGACAATATGTTATATTTTTACTAAATTCATAATAATAAATTAATTTTCGAGCATGCAAAGGTGACTGATTTCATTTTTCATTCATTCATATATTTAGTTGTTTAAAAAAATAATTAAATTTATTTTTCAAATAAAATTTCCTATTTCTCCATACTTATTCTTCAAAAATTATTTATTAAAACCTCGAAAAACACCGAGAAGAAAACATCAATCTCTGTTGAACCATTAAAGAAAATGAAAAGAGCTGAGCTAAATTGAAATTGCTGCATCTCGACGATAAATTAGTTCTATTGTACATTCATCATCATCGATGATAGATGGAACCCGTAAGATCGGTCGATCAGTTAATCGTCCTATGCCCTGCCCCTTTCCCTCTAATAATATTTGTCAAATTCAACAAATATTTACAAATCGTAAAATTTACATTATCAATCCATAAATTTTAATGAAGTATACGCTGCACAACACTTCTATTAACAATCAATTGAAATGTCAAAGGTGATTCTGAAACGTGAACTGAAATGTCAAAATTTCAGCACTAATAAGACTAAAATTAGATACGAAATTTATTAGCAAGAAATTATTAAGATGGAATTTGAATTTTGATTATTTTTGATAATTAATAGTTTCCCACGTTTTATCGTGTGCCGATCTAATATCACATGTATAAATTGCTGGAAACTATAATTTTCCTTGAGAATATAACATATTTTAAGTGAAATTCAGCGGAATATAAAATTGATGAGAATATAATGAAGCGAATAAATTTTAAAATTATTAGACTTCGAGAAAATAAAAGCCTGAAACAAATGGTATTATATTGAATGTAATCTAGAACTATCAACAATCAAATACAATTTGTATTTATTAAAAACATATTCCGAACAATAATAACACTAAGTTATCACGCATAATTTTTAATTTATTTCTAGTTTATTTAATAACTAGAAATTTGTATTAATTAGAAATATGTTAAAATTAATAACAGAAATGTATTTAATAACTAGAAATTTAAAAATTTGTGTATATCCTTTAAATTAATTCAACGTAAAATTTCTTTAAGTTTCAATTTTCAGCTATTAATGTTTTTCATTCAGAATAAAATTTAATTGCTCTTAAAAATAACACGATAAAAATTAAATCAATAGAAAGGAAATAAAAACTTCCCGCCATATTTCCAACTTAATTTCCAAAAATTTTATGCTTTACTCATATAAAAATAAAGTATAAATATAAAGAGGTAATAATTTATTTGAAATTGAGTGTTAGAGAAAAAATAATACACATCATTGAATTTTACAGCAAACTTTGAAAATATTTACGGCACATATCAGGCCTAATAAAATATTTATGTAATTTTTGCAGAGATCATCGGGCTTATTTGAAAATGTCATGGAAAAAAAGCAATGGAGTTAACCTTTTCAGAGGTTATCGAATTTACTTGTTGTAGATGTTAAGGAAGATGCAATATTGCACATCTTTATTTACTTATTTATGATATGTTTTGCAACATAGCAAAAACAACATCGTGCAAATCATTTTTCTCCTCTCTCGCAGATAAATTGATGTTTAAATTGTTCAGCATAACGAGAAATTTCCGCTTTTTTGCGCCCATCATTTTGCAGTAATGCAATTATATTATGTTATTGTGGACGCTATTTCAAAGTGAATACTTCAGTTAATTTTTATCTGTCAACAAAAGTTTTTTAGTTGTACCATAAAATTATAACAATTTTAGCATTTCATTTCAGTCAAACAATCTTACTGCAATATTTTCACTTTTGCTTAGCAATTTGGTAATCTATAAATGAATAAATATTTCCTATGCTAAAATAGGTTATTTTCATTAACATGGACAATAGCTCAGTCAAAAAAATTTAAGTATATTATTTAAATGAATATTTCTTATGAATTAACTAATTCAGAAAATTAGCTCGTTGATGGAATCTTTAATCAGCCATCGTGGGAAAAAAATTTTACTGGTGAAACAATTTAAGAAATGAGCTAATGAGAATTTTATTAAAGCTCTTCCTCTCCCCACCCCAAAAATAAGCGCCTCCTAATTATCAGAGAAATCTTCCCTTGATCATCAAATAAATGAGTCATTCAATTATTCATAATTGAAACGAGGAAGAGGAGGGATTAAATATAAATTGATTAAATGTAAAAATCAGAAAAAAAATGAACATTCAATAAACATTGAAATCGACAAAATCAAAAATCGAAATTAATAATCATAATGTGTAATTTAAAACCTATGGTTATTTTGAAAATGTCATCAAAAGAGGAAATGATAAGAGGAATTATCAAAAGACAACAGTAACTGATATTATCAGCAGCTAAAAGGATAAAAAGATTAAAATAGAAGCGAGGAAAATGGGGAGAGTTAAGGATGTCATGCATGTCGCGTTGGTTTGTTAATATCCAGTGTTCCTAAATGTCATCTAAAATTTCATATTTTCGAAATTACCTTTCTTCTCATTCACCTTTTTTGCATTCAAATCTTATTGAAAGGAATTGATATGAAACGAAATAGCATGGAGATATTGCAAGAAACAGATTGATAAACACAAATATAAATATATGTGGACAAAAGGATAAGACAACAAATGTAAAACAGAGATGTGAGAGTAACAACATTCATCTGATTTGGCTATTTTTTAGTAGAAAATAGAAATTAATTCAATTTCACCTTGCACTTTCTGGTCAAATTTGTTGAAAATATAAGGCATCAATCAAAAAAAGGAAGAAAAATTTCACTTTAAAAATCAAAGTAAATGTAATTGGACGTTCAACTTTTTTTCCTTCTGATGTGACTTTCATTTATTTTGTTTATTCGTTTCCGTTTTGTGAGAATGATTTCAACTTTTTTTAATAATTTTTACGCTAATAAGTAATAATAATGATTAACAACAATATAGCATTGGCAATAATTTCGAATATAGGCACTTTTCTTTGAAAATTTGTTGAGGCATTTAATGCAACGTAATTACTGATCTTAATGAATGGGTCAAATTGCAGACAACAAAAAAAGTGAAATCGAAATCGATGAAAATATTTCTGTTATGCAAAAAAAGAATGAATGAATGAATAAAATGGCTTTTGGTTTCATTATCGACAATTTTTGCTAAAAAATAAACGGCTTTTTTTGTAAATAGTAAATTTTAAGTTCGCTTCTTCCATTTTAATTTCTTCAAATTTTCACCTTTCTTACATGAAAAAAATTTCCAATATGCATGCATCATTTGTTGCTAAATGAAACTCTTCATTTGATTGTCTAAATTACTTTATCTAAAATTTTGTTTACTTTCGTATTGAAGGTAATTTGATCCCGAAATGAGCCGAGAAGTGTCCTTCAGCTTGAATTACATTTCAAGAAAAACTCATTGCCACTGAATTTCTCACTGCTTATAAACACACTTAGAAGACTTACCCGTTACCGGTTCAGAAATAGAAATTCAGATCTGTTGAAAATGCCATATATTTTTTTAAATCATTTTTAATTTATCAAATCATTATTAGTGTTGAGGATAGATAGTTGGAATATTATCATATTTGGAAATTTAAAATTATAGTAGTCTGTTTACACTGTTTTTTTACAATTAGAAAGATTTCAAGGCTTCTTAATCATAAAATCGAATGGTAAATCATGAAATATTGGAATTGCTATACAAAAGAATAAATTATGCAATTGACTGGAAAAAAATGCACTCACAAAATTGCAAATGTCAAACAGTTTAGCAAAAAATTTGCAAATGAAAGTAAAGATATATTGTGTTAAATAATTTGAGCGATGAAAATGAACAGTAATGAATAAACACAATAAAAAGAAACACTCATTAAATGTTATCTACAATATAAAAATTTCAATGTCAGTTTGACATTTTCATTATTATTCGAATTTGGTAAGCCTAATAAAATTGACATTGTAATATTATGTACGCCTAACTAATACAATTAAAGGTAGAAAAACCTTAACAAATCGAAGAGATCAAACATGGAAAGAAAATTATCAAAATTGTAAAGGAAACGTAAGCACTGCTAACTTGGGACTTAGTTAAATAAACTTCGGTAAAATTTCTGGTATGCCTCTTTCGAAGCATTGTTACATTAAGGAATTCATAGGGCTTTTTCTTGCTTATAGTAACAGTCTTTACAACTGTTTCATATTTGAAGTGCTGAAAGCTGACATTGTAGATGCCAGGTATTACCAGACGCCAAAAGTCACCATCGGTACTACTTATTATAACCTTGCCAAGATTGTTGATTGAAATTTGAACATCCGATATTCCGGTACCAGTTATTTCATCCAACACAAAGCCAGAAATCGTATGATGAATCTGGAAGAAAATTTAGCATGCAACTACCTGTGCCAAAAAATAGTTATTTTGTTTGTCAGCCAATTAAAGATGGATTAAAAGGAATTATTCCATTCAAATCTATAAAAAATATTATTATCTTTCATTAATTATTGATCATTGAAAGGTTACATCAATATTTACAAATTATAGTTAGAATTGCAAGTATAATTATATCAAAGAAATTAATTGCTAATGATACTTTTAGCATTATTTATTACATTTTCTACAGCATTTCAATGATTTTTTCGATCTATCATTTATTGCATTTCTTTTCTTGCCTCCTAAAATTAAAGTTAAAATGTTACCTTTTCAATGAAAGAAATTAAAGCAAATTTATGATCATTCCATATTTCCTTCAATTGGTCGTTAGTTGAATACTTTACACAGCTCATTTCGATTGTTAATTCGAAGCAGTTCGCAAATACATAATTCCAATCTTGCATCCCGCCTGAAATCTTTTCTTATCATTGCATCTATCAGTATACATTTGTTAAATCCTCAATCAGCCGAAGGAATAATTTATTACTTGGATTAATCTACTATATTTAAATACCATCAACAATGCCACTATTCGAAGATAACAAGCAAGAAAAAAACTGGCCTGAAACGCGGTACCATTTATTACCATTTGTAATTCCTTCATTGAGATCGTCATCATCATGTTGATTAATACACCTTGGCCCCTGAATGATATTAGTAACAATTAAATTACTGAAAAACGTAAATTATCCAATCCGGATAGATAGGAACAAAAAACAAATTTTCAGGAATGATATTAAACGAAATAAATTACTTATTATATATGACATTGAGAAACGATTTACGAAATACTTAAGGGTTAGAAAATAAATTTAACATTCGGTCATCAGATTGCACAAGAAGCAAATTCTCCCTCAAAACACTTGCAATTAATTAGTTATTTAATTACTTGTTATAAAAAGTTAACAAAATTTACATATACCTTCTTCCACATATATTTATGTGCTCGAGCATATAAGTAAGAAAGTACCACAAAGAGTTCGTGATCACCTGTTTTTGCTTCGATACCTTCGACCCTTCCATCATCATAGGGGAAATTAACCACCATTGAACCATCATGCAAATTTGCTGACAAAACGAATGGTATTGATCTAAAATTTCAGAATTTGATCCTGACTATTACCACGTCATCAAATTTCAATACAGGTACAAATTCGTTTCGTACTTTGTCCACTGCATAACTGCACTGGTTTCCGGTTGAATATTTCGGATCATTGTTGGATTCAGCCGTTGTGGAAAATCTCGATTTAAGTCCACATCAGCAGCATTTGTTCGACCCTTAAATTCGAATCATTTAATTCATTAAAGATTGTTCGATTTATAGGAATGAATGATTAGGAGAAAATGTATAATCTTGTTTTTTTATCATATATATTTCAGAAGATTACCGGTATTATTTTTTGCTTGAATAAATCCCTTTAATTAATGCGCAGTAAAAAGATAACCTGAAGCCAACCATAACTTCCCGGAATAGCTTCCGTAAATCCATCCGGATTCATTGTTGGTAAGAGATGAATTCGTGTCCTATCTACAAGCCTTGTTAATACTTCATTTTTCCCATAATTAATGAGTAGAATATCTGCCAAACATAGCAATAATTCTCGACCTGATATCTGAAAGATTTTAGCATTTATCCCTAAATATGATTATGAATTTTGACTACTCCAGGAAATTTAAGACTTTTTTTCTTGAACTAATTGCTAGAGCTCTAAATAAGCTTTGGAAGTGAGCTAATAATTTATCATTTAACTCATAATTCCACAAAAATTTTTAAGATGCGAAAAAAATTTTACCTCATTACCATGAATATTAGCAACATATTTAAATTCCGGTATTCCTGGGATATGCTTCATCGGGAATTTCCCAATAGCTAGTACAGTCAGTGGTCTGCCTTGCACTGATTTGCCTATCTCGTACAAATATGTTATATGTGGATATTTCTTATGTAAATTCTGCAAACAATTTTTTTTTTTGGATTGAAAATGATACAAATTATATGAAACTAAATACCAATATTATGTAGAAAGATAACATATTACTAATAATTGAGAGTGTCACATTATCAATCAAAGTAATCAATTTGTCAAATTTTGTAATCATTTCGCCAAAAAAGCAAGAAAAACGAACAGTTAATTCATTCAAAATCTCCTCGTTAGTATGAACTTTAATTTGCATTGTTTCACTGAACGAACCAATCCTTTGCATTATTGTTGTATAATTCTCCACTGAGTAATCATTTTCCAATTCTCTGATAATTTCCTACAAAAATTCTCATTTTTATTTTCAATTTTTGTATATTCAAATGTTTCAATTTTTTCTATTTAGAGCAATTTTGATTTAAAGACTAAAGTTTTTGATTTTTGTATATTCCTGGGAAGTTAGGTTTCTACAAACAATGAAAGTTAACTTCGAAAAATTAATACTGAGAAAAATGTAATTGACCAAGTCTTCATATTGATTTAAATAATTTAGAACTTATATAAAATTTTGATTATTTAACAATTTAGTGAAAGAAAGCTGATTATACATACGTTGGTATCGAGTTCACATGTTGCGAAATACACAGTAATTAAAAATATATATATAATTTGAATGGACATCATATGCTTTCACATCTGAAATAATAATAAAATAGATGAAAAAGCATAAAATTTAATTTGTTAACAGCGCGTGAAAAATTATAATTAAAGCGTACTCATTGAGAATGAGATGAAATTGATTATTCACAACATCTATTTCAATTTCTTAAACATATGCAAATAATGTAAATAAATGAGTAATATGAGCAAATGGAATAGATACTTTCAGTATTTCATGCAAATAAAGAAGATAGTGAAAAATTCAGTGCATTTGAAAATCTAGTTATTATCATATAAATATCAGAAGTAAATTGAATTTATTTACATGAACATAATGTAAATAAATTCAATTTACTTCTGACATTTACATGATAATGAATTAATATCATATCAGCATCATAATGATAAGCTATCATCTTTTAAAAGAGGAATTTCATGATTACTTACGAATGTTCCTTTTTCAATATAAATATTGAATCAATTTTTGAAAAACAAAAATTTAATAGAAAAGAGCTCATCCATTAATAAAATGAAATGAAAATAAAATAAAATGTTTGGATTCAAAAGTTTGTTTGCTTCTGAAGATATCGTACGTAATGGTAGGTTTTTTAAAAAAATAAACATCAAATTATTTACAATTTTAAAATACTGAGAAAAAAGATTAAGAAGAAATAAAAGTTTTAACATAAAAAATGTTAAAATCGGGAATTTTTTTCGAAAATTTAAAAACATTTAAAAGTTTTTTTAAGATTTAAAATCAAATTAAAAAATGAATCATAAGTAAAAGAGATGACATGTTTGAGGCAACAACAGGTGACATGTTGAATAAATTTTTTAAAAATAACGGAGGATATTTGCAGTAATAACGAGATGAAAGATTATTTGTCGTGAAAGAATGTTTATCAGTTGATTTTCGGTTTTCTCAGAAAGGGAATTCAAAAAAACCAAAGTTAAGGAAATGAAAATTTGTAGACTAGAAGAAATGTCAATTTCCATCTTTTTCGGATCATTTCTGAAAAGTATTTCGCTTTTCTGGACAAGCCTATCTTCTCACACAAAGAGTTTATAGTTTCTAAATCCAACCGATTCATGAATTTCTGTTATCTTAAAGGCACTTATTAAATTATGATCTTTTATTTTTTGATTTTTTGATTACGAATTTAACTCGTATTTTTTTTCGATTAGCTGATTTTGGGAAGCATTTATGCTCACTCTCTCTGCAAAAATGGATCAATTCATGATTTCACTTCGTCAAAACTTGTAATTTATTCGTTGTATAATCTTTTTTTCAATCTATTTCCTAAATAGCTGGTGAAGTAAGGAATAAAAATTTCTTTCCAGAAGATCATCGATTAGTCTCTATGGTTCATACAATTTTTCATTGATAATGAAAGTTTAACAATTAGATGAGAATTTTCTATTTACCGATAATTATTCTCAATCCATTATTTTCAAAAATGATGAAAAGCCATTGATGACTTTCTTTACTTTAGTTATTGATGCTTTTAGTTTTTATTTCAGATAACTTTTTAATTTTTGCTTTAATATGAATAATATCCTTGTCCATACTAAATGAAAGCTTATATTAGCAGGAATGTAAGCTTCTGGGAAAGTTTGAAAAATTTTTATTGAATCTTTGGTTTTTTGATTAGTGTGGTAAAAGTGTAACAAAGACTGATTGAAAAGATCAAAACGGATTGAGCCCGTTATAAGAAAAATGCATTTTGAAAAATTTCAATCAGAAATGAACGCTTGACTGATAGCATAAAGTTTTAAGTGATGCCAATATAAGGAAAGAAAAAGCACAATAGCGAAAAGTTTTGCAAAAAACTTCGGTTAATATTAGGAAACCTAATTTCTCACATCAGATATTTAAGCATTATCGAAATAATGCAATGATTAAAGAAGAAAGACTGCTTTTTAATAAAAAATTTAGTTAAAATTTGAAAAAAAAAAATCGAAATTTTATTGAAGTTCACTGAACTATGTAAATTCACTGTTAAAAAGAATAATGACTATGAAAGTGACATAAACTGCGAAGGAATATGATCAGTAAATTAACATTAACATTAGTCGTCGACCTTCACTATTGAATTATATAACATTCCGGAATAGAATCAATATATCAACATAAAATTATAAAATTTCCACGTAATTTTAAAATTAAAGAAAGGAGAAAAAAAAAAGGAATTTTTAAGGGTAAAAGACTTTACATACCTTGAAACTTTCATATTCACTTCGTGAATCATTTTTAGACAAAAATAAATAGTTAAATAATGAATCAGACCTATTGGGACCAATAAATTGCTAGCTTTTTTTGAAGCTATTTTTTTACAGAATTCCATTAATGAGAAAAGAGGAAAAAATAAAATGAGACAAAGGGATGTTCCATTATGAAAGCAAACCAAATCATTTTTATCAAGCGATGATCAAAAAAGCAAAAAAGTAAAGTATTACAAGTTTTTGGATGTGCAAAGATCATAATGTTTTGCTTATTGCTCTCTCAAAAATATATGTAAATATTTTTATGACATTCGATTATAATGATCAATTAATTAACGATTACACCGAAGCATTATTTATTTATTCCTGTTGAAATCTCATCAATTACTAATAAGATAGTTAACAATTAATTAACGAATTGATTGATTTGTTTCTCAGAATATTTGTGAAGTCATTTGTTCTCTTCTCATTAACATAATTGGTAAAAAAAAATAATATTGAAAACGAGTAACATTTTCACTCATTAGATCTCAAATTCGTTCTGATTAAAAAACCATTTTGGAACAATTTAACATTAAACGATGAACAAATAGCTAAATAAAAGTTCATCTTTCCATAATTTCCGACAGATTAGGAAATAAGTTTTTGAATGATTATCAAATTCGCATTTGAATTTAATTCCAGAAATTAGAAGGAATTTTTGTAGAAATAATTATGAAGAAAATGATAATTTCCCGAAAGATCTCCCTTATTTATAAAATAAACTTTAAAATATGGAGAAGATAGAGAAAGGCTTCAATGTTGACTGGTTTTAACCTAAAATAAGAAATGATAAAGAGAGATGGAAGAAATAAATATCTCAGCTTACGGCAGCTGTTCCGTCCATCCATAAGCGCCAATACAAATAGACGTTCTTCGCCAATTTCCACTTCCAAAGATTTTGCGATTGCGATAAAATGATGTATGGATGAAAGCATTTTGTTACAGCTCACTTTACTTCATTTTTCTTTGAAATTGCCGTCATCTATGGATTCAATCATCTGATCTAACCTAATTCCTTCTTAACTTCATTACTCATTTACCATTTTTTTCTTCATTTCAATGAACGATATTTTTTCTTTTATAAAGTTACATTTAGAAAAAAGGTATAAGAATTTTCAAAAAAGAAAAACATCCCGACAGATTTTCATAATTATTAATTTATTCTTTTCAATCGATGAGACTTTCAGTTTTCCTAAGCATTTTGATTTGAAAATAAAAAAGCTCCAAATTAATCACTAACTAAGAATTCCCGGATTTACTTCTCTATTGAAATCAGATTATTTAAGCATAAACGGATGATGCCAAATAGAGGAAAGGAAAAGAAAGGAAGAGAAAATTCTCTGCAAGGTCAATACCGCTTCTGTTAATGAAAATAAATAATATCACATACTTTACATATCATGTGCAATTTTAATGATCTCATTGGAATAGGAACTTTTTGTTAATGCTATAAATTTGTACGATAACAAAAAATAAATTATAAATTGGAATGAATTTAGGTTAAAATTAAATGGAAATAAATCAAAGATAACAAAACAGTAAATGAAAAACCAAGAAGGTTTTTTATTCGTAAATTAACATTTAACTAATAAAGATATAATAAAACAGTGATAAAGCAGAACTTTTGATGCTATAAAAAAGCACTGCTTGAAATTAGAGCTGTTGTGAAAGTTTTAAATTCATCTGTCTTCTCCGGCTGCGTACATTTCTCAATATCGTCATTTCTTTTTAAATGGATCTACGAATTTCGATGAAAGCTTAATGTCCTTTTTGGAAGTAATCTATCTCACTATATCAACATTCATTAAAGTGCATGATAATTAATTTTAATCAACCTGTTCAGCTAAGTAAGCATGATTGGATGAAACATGGGTTAGTTGTTTAAGACAAGCTAAATTATATTTTGTCAGCATTTAAATATTTCTATTATTTCACGATTATTAGCAAAACTAAAGATTGTAAAGGGTAGTATTCATTATTGGAAATATCATAAAGTACTCAAAAATAGATAAAATTATTTGAAATATGAACAATTATCGAGTTCTGGGAATGTAAAATGTTAAACAATTGCTTTTTATCGATGATTTGAAATTCATCTTCTTTCCATCAGCTACTATTTCTATTTATTCCTCAGGCTGTTCCACTTATCGTTATCTTTTTCTTCTTGGCAGTATAAGCAGATTTTCATATTTTAAATTTTCTATTTAATTAATTCCAGAATGGCTACTAATAATATTGCATAAATAATAGAAGATAGACTGTTATTCCAACTGAAACATTAATCATTTAACGATAAATTGTATGAAAAAATGAAAGTATAACTTGCAAAAATTGTAATTTTATATGTTGAATTAATATTTT